GTGAGGAAATAGCAAAACAGTAGGGGAGGCAGACACTGAAAACTGAGAGAGGAGGACGCTGCTTGCATAAAAGCCAGTGGCCAGGTATGATGAGAGAAGACAGCACAGTTGTAGGGCAGAGGACGGAGGGGAAGGCCAGGTTCACACAAGTACAACTTTTCCATTCTGTGCCAAGGAAACTGGATCTCCATTTGAACACAGACATGGTCTGCCTCCATGAGCCATGCTACAATCTGAAAGGTAAACAGGGTCTTAAAAGAATCCTTTTAGATAGCATTTATTATCCTCTTTCTGTGCTCTCCTGACAATGAATTTGTCAACACTTCCACATCCAGGAGACTTTCATCCTTCTTGTGTGCATACCTGCTACATGTCCTCTTAGGAATTAATAAACACTTCATACCTTTTCCTTATCCACCACAGTTACAGTTCATGTTATGATTTTATCATATAGTGTAACACAAACATCCGAACTGCTTTGACCACAGGCAGAACTTACTGCCTAGCCCCTCTCTTTTTCTAGGAAACCCATCAGGTTGCCTGATGGAGGGGCCAGAGGATTACCTCTAAGTGTACCATGTGTGCCTGAAATTCAAAGACTAGCAAGTGTTAAACCTTTCTCTTGAAGTAGGAACCATCAGGTAAAATAACTGTCCTTACCACAGAAAACTATGCTGAAAGAACAAGGCTGCTAAGTCTGTCAAAACTTCACTAATGTCACAGCCTGCTGAATTTTTGAGGAGCTAATCAAAATTTCATATTACCGGGCATTCTGGACATTTGCTGAGTCCTATCTCTAATACCTTAGTGAGCACTCTCAACGTTCATCTTCAAACATCCTATTTCTTCAGGTTTTTTAAACCTCTTTCAGTACATAATGTTTTTCTTCTTTGATAGAGCCATTCTGTTCTCAGGACTTAGTGAATCTTTAACTTAGTTATTAATTCTCAGCAGCCTGACTCCAGGGTTGTCTAACTGTGCCTCCTTCAAATAAATAGAAAGATACGCTCTCTTAAACTGAGGAAAAGAAGTGAGAGTAGACCGCTGCAGGATCCAAACTTGTTGAAAATATGTCTCAGGAAGGCTAGGCTAGAGTTCTGGATGTTCATGCCTCTAAGCTCTCTGAAGTTAACTTTCTCCTCACTGCTTCCTCAGACCATCTCATCTGCATCCACTCCTCAGGGGGAAACCTGAGCAGAGCGATTTCTTTGAGGTGAAGCCCTTTTTCCTTGGAGATTGGCTGCATTTTCTTGTAGCAGAATAAATAAGAGAGGAAATGTAGAGGAGGGTATTTCTGGGTTTCTATAGGATGTGGCACAACCAGGCAGCCTAGGACAGGAGCCAGGGTGAGTAATGAGGGCCCACACTCAGACCTTTATTTCCAGAGTGCTGGAGGGCTCATCCTCTTCACCCCCAAAAGAAAAATCAAAGAAAAGAATGACAGAAACCAGATGTAGTCTTAGACTTAAACTAGTTAAGGAAAAGGATAAATCAGAAATTACTGTGTATGTGGATTTGTGGGGCTTATTTAAATGCATGAATGAATGCAATAAAAAAACTTTAAATTTGAGAGCAGGAAAACTCTTGGGCAGGTAAAGTTAGAGGAATAAATTTGTGATTTGTAGTTTTATTTGAATAAAATAGCTTATTTTTTTAATCAGAGAAAAATGAAGTGGCAAAGTAAAAGAGAAGTATATTTTAGAAACACTGAATCTTGCAATTACTACAGGTCCAAGTTCAAAAGATAGGATCCATTTCAAGCCCCTGATTTTACAGATAAAGTTGAGCACAATGCAAGAAAATTAGCCTGACATCCTGCATAATCTTAGACAGCGTGCTTCATTCTTTAAAAATGAAGTATTTGGTATCAAACAGAATCAAAAATGAATTATCCTACCAACTCAATGGATTTATCTATGTCTCTATCTGTATGAAATGGAAAAGGTTGGACCTATCTTACAATGTTATGTCAATACTAAGGGATAGTATAGCAAAGTTGTGCTCCAGCACACAGCATATGAAACTTATTTAGAGTACCGTAGCACTGTTAAATATCAAAACATGACTGAAATTCCTAGAGTGGGCCACAAATACACAGTATACACAATTTTGTGATTTTACTGAATCCAGAAACCTCTTTTCTGCCTGTAAACTACATTTGCAAAAGTTGAAATTCATTCTGCCTCATGCTGTATGTTATTGCAACTTCCACAGTTGAGAGACATGCAGTTATTTCAGGTTTTCCAGTTCCAGACACCTGAATATGCCAGCACTGAACTCGATATGAAGGTACAAGAGGACTGGCATAGAAAATGATTATGAAGTTGCATGGTGCAGGGGTGAGCCAATTCTAAATGTGATGCTTTAAGAAGAGACAATTAGACAAAATTAGACAGTTTGAGAAATCTGTAGGGCATGTTGGGGAGAGGAGAAGAGGTGGTAATGTAGATGTAGATCATAGGCAAGGAAGACAGCCAAGCAGCTGTCCTAAGAAACTGTAAGCAAAATGACATTATGAGAAACTATTATGCAGTACTGCACAGTATTTCTCAAATTTTTTCACTATATTTGATTCATCTTTCCTTGCAGTTATTCTGAAATGTAGACCCTGAAGGATTACTATTCCTGCTTTAGGGATGACATAGCTGATATTCAGAGGTTGACTTGGTTATATCATTCCTCTGCCTAAAATCCTTGAATGATTGTCTTGTGTACTCAACTAACATCCACTTGATATGGTCTCCACGCTCTTGGAAAGCAGCACCTACCTAACTCTCCATTTGTACTGCCTACAGCCTACCTGTTACACAGGAGTCCTCAGGGATGCAAATCTTATTTTATCTACTGTTCCCTGTCTACACTCTCCTTGCTTTCAACATGGAAGCTTCCTCATTGTTTTGATCTTAAGCATCATCATTTCAGAGCGCTGTTGTTCACACAACCCTCACCAAGTCAGTCCACTGTGTGCCACACTCCATGTGTTAACCTCACCCCACAATTCTTAGCTTTCCTTGTACCAATGAATACGTTTTTCACCTTACAATTAGTTCTCCCTGTGAAATTTTTCTATCTTTCTCTTTAGACTACAAGATCCATGACTATAGCAGCCATCTGGTTTTGTTTGTTAACACATAACTCTTGCAGAGTGCAGTGCCTAAAATGAAGTAAAATCTAGATCAACCTTTACTTGTTGGAATGAATAAATAATATAATGATTAACCAAGTCTATAAACATATGAAGGAAAGGGTAACAAAAGATGAGATGCATTCCCTAGGCTTCAGATACTGGGATCAGGGGCTGATTTGTAAGAGGAAGGAATCATGTTACACAAGTAGATGATTTTCACATATGCTTGAGTTTTGTGTGAATGTGCAGAGAAGGGGAATTTGGCTAATTTTGTGAACAGTGTATTTTTATTATATCAACAAGGAATTTCATATATTTCATCTATCCATACCCTACTTTACAAAATCCAGTGAAAATCCCCAATAGAGAGCTATAGTATTACAGCTTGATATCAGATGAAATGTAGAATGTTAAGATTGGTGAGCTTTTTCTTATTGATTCAATTTCTCTGTCCAATATATTTTATATCTGTGCTCCCCCTCCAAGTGTTCAAGCCCTACCTACAGTAACAACAAAAATCATGTCTGTGGTGCTTTGCACTTTAATTTTTCACATATTTTGTCCCATCAGAAGACGCCAATGGAAAAGTATTTGGTTTGGAATCAGACAAAGGTTCATCCAAACTCTAAGACTGTAGTATGTGAGCCTCTCACCAGAAATCAGCTGCTACAGTTCTTGATATTCAGTTTCCCAAGCTATATCATTATACAGGGTAAATATGGCACTGTTCAGGATCTCCGTTAATTCTGAACATTGGGAAATCCATTGACCATAAATCATGGAATTTGTATTCCATAAAGCATGGAATTCAAAACTGTATCAAAGGAAATCTAAGGGCAGGAAAAATGAACAAGCTCAAGAATAATTGACTATATAAATCATAAGGGGAAAAAAGCAATTACTCCCTCTCTTGGACACTTTTTGTAAGGCCATGCAATCTCTCATACTTCCTTGCATTTCTCAGTTAATCTAATTCAATTATTTTTATATCTTTCCAAACAGGCACTTTCCACTTATCTCTATGCACATGGAAATAACACACCTTCAATTTGGGCAAAAAATAGACACTGACTAGATTGTCTGAATTTCAATTACTATTTACTGATATATAAAATTTCATTCTACCAGGTCACACCAGATTTCAACCTTAAAAATGTTGACTTTGGTTTTATTCTCTTCAAAAAAAATTAATAAGAACTTTGGGAGTAATAAAACCCAAAATGTGTAACTGTTATTGTAAAAAAGAGAGGAAAAGAAAATGATCTAAAGTATATAACTGCATATATATATATATATATAAGTGTGTAAGATAGAAAACCATATTACCAGGTTTTTTTGGATGATTGAACAGAACTGTTTGTAATCTCACTGTTTCAATGTCCACTATGTATGCTTTAATTTTGCAATTTGAACAACTAATAATAAGATGACAATATGTAATCTATTAACGAGTGATTTCTTACTGTATATTTTTTCTTGAAATTCTGTATTACTTGTAGCCTTTTACTGTTTGTTTTGTTTTTTTTTTTCTCTTTAAAGAAAAAAAATGTTAGGCTTTTGAAAGGCAAGACTATGCTTGTAGTTTTGCTATAACTCTATGGCCTCAATCCTGTGTTTGAAAGGAACCAGATATTCAAAGAGGGATTTATGATTTTTATTATAATGTAAAAAAATTCAAGTAATTGCACTAGAACACTAACTGAAATAAACACAACAGACCAGTCAGCGGGTTACTTGTTTTCAATATTCTCTTTCATACCTATCAGTAAATGAAGGAATCAATTATGAACCTAGATTTTAGAGTTCTGTTTCAATACTAACTTGCTTTTTTCTGTTATCTTAGATCTTCTCAGAGTCTGTACAGATTGAAGAGGACACAGTTTCTAGATCCCTCAGAATCTATCCAAGGATGGTTCACACACAGTCTTATATAAACATCTCCTTCTTCCAGCCACCAGCTTTCCTCCTGGTTGGCCTCCCAGGCCTAGAAGCATTTCACGGCTGGATATCCATCCCCTTCTCATCCATGTACACTGTGGCACTCACTGGAAACTGCCTCATCATCCTGGCTGTGAAGAGGACCCCTAACCTACACCAGCCCATGTACTACTTCCTGTCCATGCTGGCCCTCAGCGATGTGGGGCTCACCTTGTCCACACTGCCCACCACTCTGTCAGTGCTCTGGTTTGACTACGCCTTCATCGGCTTCAATGCCTGCCTGGTCCAGATGTTCTTCTTGCACGTCTTCTCTGTGGTGGAGTCCTCTGTGCTCCTGGCCATGTCATTTGACCGCTTCGTGGCCATCTCCAACCCTTTGCGCTATGCAGCGGTTCTCACAAATAATGTCATCATCAGAATTGGAATGGCCATTGTAACTCGAGCCACTCTGTCCCTCTTCCCAGGACCCTTCTTGCTGAAGCGACTAAACTATTGCCCTGGCAAGATCACTTTATCACATTCTTTCTGTTTCCATGGAGATGTCATGAAACGGGCTTGTGCTGACATTACTGTCAACGTCCTGTATGGGCTGTATGTGGTTCTGTCCACTGTGGGTCTAGATTCTTTGCTTATTGTCCTGTCCTATACCCTTATCCTTCATACAGTGATGGGGCTGGCATCTCCCAAGGAGCGGGTTCGCGCCCTGAACACCTGTGTTTCCCATATCTTAGCTGTGCTGGTGTTCTACATCCCTGTCATAGGTGTGTCCATGATCCACCGCTTTGGGAGGCACCTCCCCCAGCTCGTACATGCTCTTGTTGCCTATGTGTACCTGTTGGTGCCCCCTGTGCTGAACCCTGTCATCTATAGCATCAAGTCCAAGCCCATCAGGGAGGCCATACTCAGAGTGTTAAGGGGAAAATGTCATAGCTGACACTGCCAGCTACTTGCAAGTTTTAAGATCTGCAAAGTACTTAGTAAACAACTAAAAAATTAGCAACTTCTGGATGGGCCAAATCCTATCCCTAGCTTTCCTGTCAGCATCTAGCAAAGGAAGTAGCAGATTGGGATGAAAAATCGTTATTATGATTATGTTGTTATTATGCTATTACTATGAAAACTCAGGGCTTCACACATGATAGGCAAATGCTCTATGCCTAAGCTATAACCCTAGTCCTGATAATTTGATTTTTATTCATTTATTGCCTCATTTATCATATGTATTTCCTCAATGCCAATTTTTTTGCCCTATGCTAGGTACCAGGAACAGAGACATTATTCCTGTGTTGCCTTGTCAAATTTGGTACATGTATAAAATATATAAATAGGAAAATGTTTAGTACAGTGTAGTATCAGCATTGTTAAATGTGTGGGCAGAGTTCTGGATAAGCAGAGAATCAAGTTACTTATCTGCATATTCTTTGGTACATTCTATGATTAACTAATAATAATTATAGTTTATAACATAATATTATAATGATCATTTTGATTAATATAGATTATAGTATATAGGAAATGGTAATTAAAGATATTCTGTTCTTTTTATTGTACTAATCATTCATTCACGAATCAGAACAAATGCTATTTGTGCCTCTTTAAGATTCTGAGGCTTCCAAACAACTGGACTCTGGGAACAATTTTTCTTTTGAGAGCCTCATAGTCCATTTTAGTGGAAAGGCAAGAAGTATAATAACAATTGAAAAGTTACTGATATCAGCTAAAAATGGGTAAGACAGTAGAAGTTCAGGAGTTTTCTGCAGGTTCTCATTGAGCTCTTGAAAAAGAAGGGTTATATTTTGCAGATGGTAGACTGGGGTGTTGTGAGGAAATAGCAAAACAGTAGGGGAGGCAGACACTGAAAACTGAGAGAGGAGGACGCTGCTTGCATAAAAGCCAGTGGCCAGGTATGATGAGAGAAGACAGCACAGTTGTAGGGCAGAGGACGGAGGGGAAGGCCAGGTTCACACAAGTACAACTTTTCCATTCTGTGCCAAGGAAACTGGATCTCCATTTGAACACAGACATGGTCTGCCTCCATGAGCCATGCTACAATCTGAAAGGTAAACAGGGTCTTAAAAGAATCCTTTTAGATAGCATTTATTATCCTCTTTCTGTGCTCTCCTGACAATGAATTTGTCAACACTTCCACATCCAGGAGACTTTCATCCTTCTTGTGTGCATACCTGCTACATGTCCTCTTAGGAATTAATAAACACTTCATACCTTTTCCTTATCCACCACAGTTATAGTTCATGTTATGATTTTATCATATAGTGTAACACAAACATCCGAACTGCTTTGACCACAGGCAGAACTTACTGCCTAGCCCCTCTCTTTTTCTAGGAAACCCATCAGGTTGCCTGATGGAGGGGCCAGAGGATTACCTCTAAGTGTACCATGTGTGCCTGAAATTCAAAGACTAGCAAGTGTTAAACCTTTCTCTTGAAGTAGGAACCATCAGGTAAAATAACTGTCCTTACCACAGAAAACTATGCTGAAAGAACAAGGCTGCTAAGTCTGTCAAAACTTCACTAATGTCACAGCCTGCTGAATTTTTGAGGAGCTAATCAAAATTTCATATTACCGGGCATTCTGGACATTTGCTGAGTCCTATCTCTAATACCTTAGTGAGCACTCTCAACGTTCATCTTCAAACATCCTATTTCTTCAGGTTTTTTAAAGCTCTTTCAGTACATAATGTTTTTCTTCTTTGATAGAGCCATTCTGTTCTCAGGACTTAGTGAATCGTTAACTTAGTTATTAATTCTCAGCAGCCTGAATCCAGAGTTGTCTAACTGTGCCTCCTTCCAATAAATAGAAAGATACGCTCTCTTAAACTGAGGAAAAGAAGTGAGAGTAGACCGCTGCAGGATCCAAACTTGTTGAAAATATGTCTCAGGAAGGCTAGGCTAGAGTTCTGGATGTTCATGTCTCTAAGCTCTCTGAAGTTAACTTTCTCCTCACTGCTCCCTCAGACCATCTCATCTGCATCCACACCTCAGGGGGAAACCTGAGCAGCGCGATTTCTTCGAGGTGAAGCCCTTTTTCCTTGGAGATTGGCTGCATTTTCTTGTAGCAGAATAAATAAGAGAGGAAATGTAGAGGAGGGTATTTCTGGGTTTCTATAGGATGTGGCACAACCAGGCAGCCTAGGACAGGAGCCAGGGTGAGTAATGAGGGCCCACACTCAGACCTTTATTTCCAGAGTGCTGGAGGGCTCATCCTCTTCACCCCCAAAAGAAAAATCAAAGAAAAGAATGACAGAAACCAGATGTAGTCTTAGACTTAAACTAGTTAAGGAAAAGGATAAATCAGAAATTACTGTGTATGTGGATTTGTGGGGCTTATTTAAATGCATGAATGAATGCAATAAAAAAACTTTAAATTTGAGAGCAGGAAAACTCTTCGGCAGGTAAAGTTAGAGGAATAAATTTGTGATTTGTAGTTTTATTTGAATAAAATAGCTTATTTTTTTAATCAGAGAAAAATGAAGTGGCAAAGTAAAAGAGAAGTATATTTTAGAAACACTGAATCTTGCAATTACTGCAGGTCCAAGTTCAAAAGATAGGATCCATTTCAAGCCCCTGATTTTACAGATAAAGTTGAGCACAATGCAAGAAAATTAGCCTGACATCCTGCATAATCTTAGACAAACAGTGTACTTCATTCTTTAAAAATGAAGTATTTGGTATCAAACAGAATCAAAAATGAATTGTCCTACCAACTCAATGGATTTATCTATGTCTCTATCTGTATGAAATGGAAAAGGTTGGACCTATCTTACAATGTTATGTCAAAACTAAGGGATAGTATACCAAAGTTGTGCTCCAGCACACAGCATATGAAACTTATTTAGAGTACCGTAGCACTGTTAAATATCAAAACATGACTGAAATTCCTAGAGTGGGCCACATATACACAGTATACACAATTTTGTGATTTTACTGAATCCAGAAACCTCTTTTCTGCCTGTAAACTACATTTGCAAAAGTTGAAATTCATTCTGCCTCATGCTGTATGTTATTGCAACTTCCACAGTTGAGAGACATGCAGTTATTTCAGGTTTTCCAGTTCCAGACACCTGAATATGCCAGCACTGAACTCGATATGAAGGTACAAGAGGACTGGCATAGAAAATGATTATGAAGTTGCAAGGAGCAGGGGTGAGCCAATTCTAAATGTGATGCTTTAAGAAGAGACAATTAGACAAAATTAGACAGTTTGAGAAATCTGTAGGGCATGTTGGGGAGAGGAGAAGAGGTGGTAATGTAGATGTAGATCATAGGCAAGGAAGACAGCCAAGCAGCTGTCCTAAGAAACTGTAAGCAAAATGACATTATGAGAAACTATTATGCAGTACTGCACAGTATTTCTCAAATTTTTTCACTATATTTGATTCATCTTTCCTTGCAGTTATTCTGAAATGTAGACCCTGAAGGATTACTATTCCTGCTTTAGGGATGACATAGCTGATATTCAGAGGTTGACTTGGTTATATCATTCCTCTGCCTAAAATCCTTGAATGATTGTCTTGTGTACTCAACTAACATCCACTTGATATGGTCTCCACGCTCTTGGAAAGCAGCACCTACCTAACTCTCCATTTGTACTGCCTACAGCCTACCTGTTACACAGGAGTCCTCAGGGATGCAAATCTTATTTTATCTACTGTTCCCTGTCTACAATCTCCTTGCTTTCAACATGGAAGCTTCCTCATTGTTTTGATCTTAAGCATCATCATTTCAGAGCGCTGTTGTTCACACAACCCTCACCAAGTCAGTCCACTGTGTGCCACACTCCATGTGTTAACCTCACCCCACAATTCTTAGCTTTCCTTGTACCAATGAATACGTTTTTCACCTTACAATTAGTTCTCCCTGTGAAATTTTTCTATCTTTCTCTTTAGACTACAAGATCCATGACTATAGCAGCCATCTGGTTTTGTTTGTTAACACATAACTCTTGCAGAGTGCAGTGCCTAAAATGAAGTAAAATCTAGATCAACCTTTACTTGTTGGAATGAATAAATAATATAATGATTAACCAAGTCTATAAACATATGAAGGAAAGGGTAACAAAAGATGAGATGCATTCCCTAGGCTTCAGATACTGGGATCAGGGGCTGATTTGTAAGAGGAAGGAATCATGTTACACAAGTAGATGATTTTCACATATGCTTGAGTTTTGTGTGAATGTGCAGAGAAGGGGAATTTGGCTAATTTTGTGAACAGTGTATTTTTATTATATCAACAAGGAATTTCATATATTTCATCTATCCATACCCTACTTTACAAAATCCAGTGAAAATCCCCAATAGAGAGCTATAGTATTACAGCTTGATATCAGATGAAATGTAGAATGTTAAGATTGGTGAGCTTTTTCTTATTGATTCAATTTCTCTGTCCAATATATTTTATATCTGTGCTCCCCCTCCAAGTGTTCAAGCCCTACCTACAGTAACAACAAAAATCATGTCTGTGGTGCTTTGCACTTTAATTTTTCACATATTTTGTCCCATCAGAAGACGCCAATGGAAAAGTATTTGGTTTGGAATCAGACAAAGGTTCATCCAAACTCTAAGACTGTAGTATGTGAGCCTCTCACCAGAAATCAGCTGCTACAGTTCTTGATATTCAGTTTCCCAAGCTATATCATTATACAGGGTAAATATGGCACTGTTCAGGATCTCCGTTAATTCTGAACATTGGGAAATCCATTGACCATAAATCATGGAATTTGTATTCCATAAAGCATGGAATTCAAAACTGTATCAAAGGAAAGCTAAGGGCAGGAAAAATGAACAAGCTCAAGAATAATTGACTATATAAAACATAAGGGGAAAAAAGCAATTGCTCCCTCTCTTGGACACGTTTCGTAAGGCCATGCAATCTCTCATACTTCCTTGCATTTCTCAGTTAATCTAATTCAATTATTTTTATATCTTTCCAAACAGGCACTTTCCACTTATCTCTATGCACATGGAAATAACACACCTTCAATTTGGGCAAAAAATAGACACTGACTAGATTGTCTGAATTTCAATTACTATTTACTGATATATAAAATTTCATTCTACCAGGTCACACCAGATTTCAACCTTAAAAATGTTGACTTTGGTTTTATTCTCTTCAAAAAAAATTAATAAGAACTTTGGGAGTAATAAAACCCAAAATGTGTAACTGTTATTGTAAAAAAGAGAGGAAAAGAAAATGATCTAAAGTATATAACTGCATATATATATATATATATATATAAGTGTGTAAGATAGAAAACCATATTACTAAGTTTTTGTTGGATGATTGAACAGAACTGTTTGTAATCTCACTGTTTCAATGTCCACTATGTATGCTTTAATTTTGCAATTTGAACAACTAATAATAAGATGACAATATGTAATCTATTAACTAGTGATTTCTTACTGTATATTTTTTTCTTGAAATTCTGTATTACTTGTACCCTTTTACTGTTTGTTTTGTTTTTTTTTTCTCTTTAAAGAAAAAAAATGTTAGGCTTTTGAAAGGCAAGACTATGCTTGTAGTTTTGCTATAAATCTATGGCCTCAATCCTGTGTTTGAAAGGAACCAGATATTCAAAGAGGGATTTATGATTTTTATTATAATGTAAAAAAATTCAAGTAATTGCACTAGAACACTAACTGAAATAAACACAACAGACCAGGCAGCGGGTTACTTGTTTTCAATATTCTCTTTCATACCTATCAGTAAATGAAGGAATCAATTATGAACCTAGATTTTAGAGTTCTGTTTCAATACTAACTTGCTTTTTTCTGTTATCTTAGATCTTCTCAGAGTCTGTACAGATTGAAGAGGACACAGTTTCTAGATCCCTCAGAATCTATCCAAGGATGGTTCACACACAGTCTTATATAAACATCTCCTTCTTCCAGCCACCAGCTTTCCTCCTGGTTGGCCTCCCAGGCCTAGAAGCATTTCACGGCTGGATATCCATCCCCTTCTTGTCCATGTACACTGTGGCACTCACTGGAAACTGCCTCATCATCCTGGCTGTGAAGAGGACCCCTAACCTACACCAGCCCATGTACTACTTCCTGTCCATGCTGGCCCTCAGCGATGTGGGGCTCACCTTGTCCACACTGCCCACCACTCTGTCAGTGCTCTGGTTTGACTACGCCTTCATCGGCTTCAATGCCTGCCTGGTCCAGATGTTCTTCTTGCACGTCTTCTCTGTGGTGGAGTCCTCTGTGCTCCTGGCCATGTCATTTGACCGCTTCGTGGCCATCTCCAACCCTTTGCGCTATGCAGCGGTTCTCACAAATAATGTCATCATCAGAATTGGAATGGCCATTGTAACTCGAGCCACTCTGTCCCTCTTCCCAGGACCCTTCTTGCTGAAGCGACTAAACTATTGCCCTGGCAAGATCACTTTGTCACATTCTTTCTGTTTCCATGGAGATGTCATGAAACGGGCTTGTGCTGACATTACTGTCAACGTCCTGTATGGGCTGTATGTGGTTCTGTCCACTGTGGGTCTAGATTCTTTGCTTATTGTCCTGTCCTATACCCTTATTCTTCATACAGTGATGGGGCTGGCATCTCCCAAGGAGCGGGTTCGCGCCCTGAACACCTGTGTTTCCCATATCTTAGCTGTGCTGGTGTTCTACATCCCTGTCATAGGTGTGTCCATGATCCACCGCTTTGGGAGGCACCTCCCCCAGCTCGTACATGCTCTTGTTGCCTATGTGTACCTGTTGGTGCCCCCTGTGCTGAACCCTGTCATCTATAGCATCAAGTCCAAGCCCATCAGGGAGGCCATACTCAGAGTGTTAAGGGGAAAATGTCATAGCTGACACTGCCAGCTACTCGCAAGTTTTAAGATCTGCAAAGTACTTAGTAAACAACTAAAAAATTAGCAACTTCTGGATGGGCCAAATCCTATCCCTAACTTTCCTGCCAGCATCTAGCAAAGGAAGTACCAGATTGGGATGAAAAATCATTATTATGATTATGCTGTTATTATGCTATTACTATGAAAACTCAGGGCTTCACACATGATAGGCAAATGCTCTATGCCTAAGCTATAACCCTAGTCCTGATAATTTGTTTCTATTCATTTATTGCCTCATTTATCATATGTATTTCCTCAATGCCAACTTTTTTGCACGATGCAAGGTACCAGGAACAAAGACATTATTCCTATGTTGCCTTGTCAAATTTGGTACATGTATAAAATATATAAATAGGAAAATGTTTAGTACAGTGTAGTATCAACATTGTTAAATGTGTGTGCAGAGTTCTGGATAGCAGAGAATCAAATTACTTATGTGCATATTCTTTGGTACCTTCTATGATAACTAATGGTAATTATAGTTTATAACATAATATTATAATGATCATTTTGATTAATATAGATTATAGTACATAGGAAATGGTAATTAAAGATATTCTGTTCTTTTTATTGTATTAATCATTCATTCATGAATCAGAACAAATGCTATTTGTGCCTCTTTAAGATTCTTAGGCTTCCAAACAACTGGACTCTGGGAACAATTTTTCTTTTGAGAGCCTCATAGTCCATTTTAGTGGAAAGACAAGAAGTATAATAACAATTGAAAAGTTACTGATATCAGCTAAAAATGGGTAAGACAGTAGAACTTCAGAAGTTTTCTGCAGGTTCTCATTGAGCTCTTGAAAAAGAAGGGTTATATTTTGCAGATGGTAGACTGGGGTGTTGTGAGGAAATAGCAAAACAGTAGTGGAGGCAGACACTGAAAACTGAGAGAGGAGGACGCTGCATGCATAAAAGCCAGTGGCCTGGTATGATGAGAGAAGACAGCACAGTTGTAGGGCAGAGGACGGAGGGGAAGGCCAGGTTCACACAAGTACAACTTTTCCATTCTGTGCCAAGAAAACTGGATCTCCATTTGAACACAGACATGGTCTGCCTCCATGAGCCATGATCCAATCTGAAAGGTAAACAGGGTCTTAAAAGAATCCTTTTAGATAGCATTTATTATCCTCTTTCTGTGCTCTCCTGACAATGAATTTGTCAACACTTCCACATCCAGGAGACTTTCATCCTTCTTGTGTGCATACCTACTACATGTCCTCTTAGGAATTAATAAACACTTCATACCTTTTCCTTATCCACCACAGTTACAGTTCATGTTATGATTTTATCACATAATGTAACACAAACATCCAAACTGCTTTCACTACAGGCAGAACTTACTGCCTAGCCCCTCTCTTTTTCTAGGCAACCCATCAGGTTGCCTGATGGAGGGGCCAAAGAATTACTTCTAAGTGTACCATGCCTGAAAGTCAAAGACTAGCAAGTGTTAAACCTTTCTCTTGACAGTAGGAACCATCAGGTAAAATAACTGTCCTTACCACTGAAAACTATGCTGACAGAACAGGCTGCTAAGTCTGTAAAAACTTCACTAACGTCACAGCCTGCTGAATTTTTGAGGAGCTAATCAAAATTTCATATTACCAGGGCACTCTGAACATTTGCTGAGTCCTATCTCTAATACCTTGGTCAGCACTCTCAACGTTCATCTTCAAACATCCTATTTCTTCAGGTTTTTTTAGAGCTCTTTCAGTACATAATGTTTTTCTTCTTTGATAGAGCCATTCTGTTCTCAGGACTTAGTGAATCGTTAACTTAGTTATTAATTCTCAGCAGCCTGACTCCAGAGTTATCTAACTGTGCCTCCTTCCAATAAATAGAAAGATACGCTCTCTTAAACTGAGGAAAAGAAGTGAGAGTAGACCGCTGCAGGATCCAAACTTGTTGAAAATATGTCTCAGGAAGGCTAGGCTAGAGTTCTGGATGTTCATGTCTCTAAGGTCTCTGAAGTTAACTTTCTCCTCACCGCTCCCTCAGACCATCTCATCTGCATCCACACCTCAGGGGGAAACCTGAGCAGAGAGATTTCTTCGAGGTGAAGCCCTTTTTATTGGAGATTGGCTGCATTTTCTTGTAGTAGAATAAATGAGAGGAAATGTAGAGGAGGGTATTTCTGGGTTTCTATAGGATGTGGCACAACCAGGCAGCCTAGGACAGGAGCCAGGGTGAGTAATGAGGGCCCACACTCAGACCTTTATTTCCAGAGTGCTGGAGGGCTCATCCTCTTCACCCCCAAAAGAAAAATCAAAGAAAAGAATGACAGAAACCAGATGTAGTCTTAGACTTAAACTAGTTAAGGAAAAGGATAAATCAGAAATTATTGTGTATGTGGATTTGTGGGGCTTATTTAAATGCATGAATGAATGAAATGATAAAAACTTTAAATTTGAGAGCAGGAATACTCTTGGGCAGGTAAAGTTAGAGGAATAAATTTGTGATTTGTAGTTTTATTTGAATAAAATAGCTTATTTTTTTAATCAGAGAAAAATGAAGTGGCAAAGTAAAAGAGAAGTATATTTTAGAAACACTGAATCTTGCAATTACTGCAGGTCCAAGTTCAAAAGATAGGATCCATTTCAAGCCCCTGATTTACAGATAAAGTTGAGCACAATGCAAGAAAATTAGCCTGACATCCTGCATGATCTTAGACAAACAGTGTGCTTCATTCTTTTAAAATGAAGTATTTGGTATCAAACAGAATCAAAAATGAATTATCCTACCAACTCAATGGATTTATCTATGTCTCTATCTGTATGAAATGGAAAAGGTTGGACCTATCTTACAATGTTATGTCAAAACTAAGGGATAGTATACCAAAGTTGTGCTCCAGCACACAGCATATGAAACTTATTTAGAGTACCGTAGCACTGTTAAATATCAAAACATGACTGAAATTCCTAGAGTGGGCCACATATACCCAGAATACACAATTTTGTGATTTTACTGAATCTAGAAACCTCTTTTCTGCCTGTAAACTACATTTGCAAAAGTTGAAATTCATTCTGCCTCATGCTGTATGTTATTGCAACTTCCACAGTTGAGAGACATGCAGTTATTTCAGGTTTTCCAGTTCCAGACACCTGAATATGCCAGCACTGAACTCCATATGAAGGTACAAGAGGACTGGCATAGAAAATGATTATGAAGTTGTATGGAGCAGGGGTGAGCCAATTCTAAATGTGATGCTTTAAGAAGAGACAATTAGACAAAATTAGACAGTTTGAGAAATCTCTAGGGCATGTTGGGGAGAGGAGAAGAGGTGGTAATGTAGATGTAGATTATAGGCAAGGAAGACAGCCAAGCAGCTGTCCTAAGAAACTGTAAGCAAAATGACATTATGAGAAACTATTATGCAATACTGCACAGTATTTCTCAAATTTTTTCACTATATTTGATTCATCTTTCCTTGCAGTTATTCTGAAATGTAGACTCTGAAGGATTACTATTCCTGCTTTAGGGATGATATAGCTGATATTCAGAGGTTGACTTGGTTATATCATTCCTCTGCCTAAAATCCTTGAATGATTGCCTTGTGTACTCAACTAACATCCACTTGATATGGTCTCCACGCTCATGGAAAGCAGCACCTACTTAACTCTCCTGTTACACAGGAGTCCTCAGGGATGCAAATCTTATTTTATCTACTGTTCCCTGTCTACACTCTCCTTGCTTTCAACATGGAAGCTTCCTCATTGTTTTGATCTTAAGCATCATCATTTCAGAGCGCTGTTGTTCACACAACCCTCACCAAGTCAGTCCACTGTGCGCCACACTCCATGTGTTAACCTCACCCCACAATTCTTAGCTTTCCTTGTACCAATGAATATGTTTTTCACCTTACAATTAGTTCTCCCTGTGAAATTTTTCTATCTTTCTCTTTAGACTACACGATCCATGACTATAGCAGCCATCTGGTTTTGTTTGTTAACACATAACTCTTGCACAGTGCAGTGCCTAAAATGAAGTAAAATCCAGATCAACATTTTCTTGTTGGAATGAATAAATAATATAATGATTAACCAAGTCTATAAACATATGAAGAAAAGGGTAACAAAAGATGAGATGCATTCCCTAGTCTTCCGATACTGGGATCGGGGCTGATTTGTAAGAGGAAGCAATCATGTTACACAAGTAGATGATTATCACATATGCTTGAGTTTTGTGTGAATGTGCAGAGAAGGGGAATTTGGCTAATTTTCTGAACAGTGTATTTTCATTATATCAACAAGGAATTTCATATATTTCATCTATCCATACCCTACTTTACAAAATCCAGTGAAAATCCCCAATAGAGAGCTATAGTATTACAGCTTGATATCAGATGAAATGTAGAATGTTAAGATTGGTGAGCTTTTTCTTATTGATTCAATTTCTCCGTCCAATATATTTTATATCTGTGCTCCCCCTCCAAGTGTTCAAGCCCTACCTACAGTAACAACAAAAATCATGTCTGTGGTGCATTGCACTTTAATTTTTCACATATTTTGTCCCATCAGAAGAGGCCACTGGAAGAGTATTTGGTTTGGAATCAGAAAAAGGTTCATCCAAACTCTAAGACTGTAGTATGTGAGCCTCTCACCAGAAATCAGCTGCTACAGTTCTTGATATTCAGTTTCCCAAGCTATATCATTATGCAGGGTAAATATGGCACTGTTCAGGATCTCCGTTAATTCTGAACATTGGGAAATCCATTGACGATAAATCATGGAATTTGTATTCCATAAAGCATGGAATTCAAAACTGTATCAAAGGAAATCTAAGGGCAGGAAAAATGAACAAGCTCAAGAATAATTGACTATATAAAACATAAGGGGAAAAAAGCAATTACTCCCTCTCTTGGACACTTTTTGTGAGGCCATGCAATCTCTCATACTTCCTTGCATTTCTCAGTTAATCTAATTCAATTATTTTTATATCTTTCCAAACAGGCACTTTCCACTTATCTCTATGCACATGGAAATAACACACCTTCAATTTGGGCAAAAAATAGACACTGACTAGATTGTCTGAATTTCAATTACTATTTACTGATATATAAAATTTCATTCTACCAGGTCACACCAGATTTCAACCTTAAAAATATTAGACTTTGGTTTTATTCTCTTAAAAAAAATTAATAAGAACTTTGGGAGTAATAAAACCCAAAATGTGTAATTGTTATTGTAAAAAAGAGAGGAAAAGAAAATGATCTAAAGTATATAACTGCATATATATATATATATATATGTGTGTGTGTGTAAGATAGAAAACCATATTACTAAGTTTTTGTTGGATCATTGAACAGAACTGTTTGTAATCTCACTGTTTCAATGTCCACTATGTATGCTTTAATTTTATAATTTGAACAACTAATAATAAGATGACAATATGTAATCTATTAACTAGTGATTTCTTACTGTATATTTTTTCTTGAAATTCTGTATTACTTGTACCCTTTAACTGTTTGCTTTTTTTTCTCTTTAAATATAAAAAATGTTAGGCTTTTGAAAGGCAAGATTATGCTTGTAGTTTTGCTATAACTCTATGGCCTCAATCCTGTGTTTGAAAGGAACCAGATATTCAAAGAGGGATTTATGATTTTTATTATAATGTAAGAAAATTCAAGTAATTGCACTAGAACACTAACTGAAATAAACACAACAGACCAGGCAGCGGGTTACTTGTTTTCAATATTATCTTTCATACCTATCAGTAAATGAAGGAATCAATTATGAAACTAGATTTTAGAGTTCTGTTTCAATACTAACTTGCTTTTTTCTGTTATCTTAGATCTTCTCAGAGTCTGTACAGATTGAAGAGGACACAGTTTCTAGATCCCTCAGAATCTATCCAAAGATGGTCCATACACAGTCTTATATAAACATCTCCTTCTTCCAGCCACCAGCTTTCCTCCTGGTTGGCCTCCCAGGCCTAGAAGCATTTCACTGCTGGATATCCATCCCCTTCTTGTCCATGTACACTGTGGCACTCACTGGAAACTGCCTCATCATCCTGGCTGTGAAGAGGACCCCTAACCTACACCAGCCCATGTACTACTTCCTGTCCATGCTGGCCCTCAGTGATGTGGGGCTCACCTTGTCCACACTGCCCACCACTCTGTCAGTGCTCTGGTTTGACTACGCCTACATCGGCTTCAATGCCTGCCTGGTCCAGATGTTCTTCTTGCACGTCTTCTCTGTGGTGGAGTCCTCTGTGCTCCTGGCCATGTCATTTGACCGCTTCGTGGCCATCTCCAACCCTTTGCGCTATGCAGCGGTTCTCACAAATAATGTCATCATCAGAATTGGAATGGCCATTGTAACTCGAGCCACTCTGTCCCTCTTCCCAGTACCCTTCTTGCTGAAGCGACTGAACTATTGCCCTGGCAAAATCGTCTTATCACATTCTTTCTGTTTCCATGCAGATGTCATGAAACGGGCTTGTGCTGACATTACTGTCAACATCCTGTATGGGCTGTATGTGGTTCTGTCCACTGTGGGTCTAGACTCCTTGCTAATTGTCCTGTCCTATACCCTTATCCTTCATACAGTGATGGGGCTGGCATCTCCCAAGGAGCGGGTTCGCGCCCTCAACACGTGTGTTTCCCATATCTTAGCTGTGCTGGTGTTCTACATCCCTGTCATAGGTGTGTCCATGATCCACCGCTTTGGGAGGCACCTCCCCCAGCTCGTACATGCTCTTGTTGCCTATGTGTACCTGGTGGTGCCCCCTGTGCTGAACCCTGTCATCTATAGCATCAAGTCCAAGCCCATCAGGGAGGTCATCCTTAGGATTCTGCAGAGGAAAGGTCACAGCTGATGTCATGTGGGACATAATATCTAGGTAAAATAAAAGAAACTGCTGGTATTTATGGAAACCAGTTAGCCTCAGCAAACTCTTAGTCTATTCTAAGATAGTAGAAAGAACCCCCATCCCAATTTTATTTATGTTTCAAGTCAGGTTCAATATTTATTTTGTAAAGAAGCCATGATAATTGCTTCTTTGAAGGACTGAAGACTTATAAATATATGAAATATGATCCTGAACTCTAGAAATTTAAAATCATGTGCCATGCAAAAGACATGTAAAGGCACCACCCAGATTATGGACTAACAGAGGCCTTTAATAAAGCACTGTGTAAGAGATTATTAGGGATACCAAATCAATAGTTGACAAAAGTTGACTGGGAAGTTTTGGAAACTTCCACACTAAATATAATCTTATTTCACATTGAAAAATTCACGCAGTTTTCTAGGCCAAATAGAAGCAGAGTAAGTGGAATAAATATCTAGAAAACATCACATTCCGCAAAGAAGTCTCCACATTTCGAATAACATGTTTAAAGAAATATTTCTTTTCTTGCTTACCTTTGTCTCTCTACCATTTATTATATCTTTCTTACACATTTCTGTGTCATGGGATTGAAAAAAAATGGTAGGAGATAAATCCATAAAGACAAGTGACCAATCTGCACAGGATTGCACATATTGTGCTAAACAGTTCGGTTTGTACTTAGTAAATGAAAATCACATCGAATATATTTTTATAAAACAAGTTAATGTTATAAATTGTTCACTAGATATATGTTGGACATATGAACAACACTGGAACAAGGAAGACTAACCAGTTAAAATTCTTTATATTACCACTCTGACTTATAACTTCAGTATCAGAAATAAATAAAAAATGCTTCAAAATCAGGAGCAAGTTAGCACTTACTGTTAGGAGAGAGTGTAGTAAATAGTTCCCTATGATCAAGCTCTCTGTTTCATTCTTCTCCTTAGTTTTACTCTTCCTGACAAATTCCCTTATCTTATTGTCTTTTCTTCCAAAAATTTTTATTAGATAAATAAATGTGTTGGTCATGTGCCATGGTGCCACTTGCCTCAGCAGATTCTTCCTTTAACCACATTCAGGAATTATTCGTTATGTCCCCATTTCAGATCTCTAGATTTTCTTACCCCATCCCATCCTTCACATTATTTCACTTGGAGTTAAAAGCTCTACATTATTTTTGGCTCCCTTAGGAATATGAAAAGCAAGGACACAATTTAATTCTGTATCAGCTTCATTTCCTTTGAATCAAGTTAAAGTAAAAAGCTCTAAGACTCCAGGCAAGAACTTTGAGGGTTTGTGCCTAAAAGACAAACAAAGATCAGCAATACTGAACTAAGACTGAAAAAGCATGTGGTCATTTCCCAAATTTAAGTCTGCCTGAGTCCAGAAGCCCAGACATCGTAGAAGGGGAAGGTCTTAAGCATCCACATGTCCAAGGCCAGCTTAGCATAACTTAAAATGAGTGGCACAAAATGGTTCCCTAATTTAAATAGATACAGCTCAGTGACTCAATAACCCCACAAACTTTGAACTAGAAATAATCCAGTTGTAAAGTGGTACAAAAATTCTAGAAACACCAAAGAATGAACACTTTTTTGGCTTGAGGATTCACAAAGAACTTCATTTTATTAGTTATTACTAAAAGAAAATGGCACAAAAATTTCAAAGGAAACAGTTAAACAGAGGATTAGACCGATGTGATGTCAAGCCAGGAATGGTGCGCACACCTGTAATTCCAGGTATGGCGGAGGCTAGTGATGAAGGATCACAAGTTTAGCAAGATTCTGTTTCAAAATAAAAATTGAAAAGGGCTAGGCATGCAGCTGAGTAAAAGAGTGCCACTGGATTAGATTCCATGTGAATACCAAGCGAAAAAAAAATGTACACGACACTGAAAAAAAGTATTATAAAATAGCAGAATAACATGATTTGTGGAAAACTAGAGATACAATGGAAAAGATAGATTGAAAACAGGTGTAAGAGGGAAGGGAAACCTACTGTAATCTGTTATTCTAAGTAGTTTGGGCTCTATTTAGGAGACAATAGAAGATGTTTAATGAATTATAAGGAGGGGATTAAGACAGAGTCGTGTTTGGCAAAACCCCCGTAAACTACTTGGGATTTAGGACTGAAACAGAGATGTTCAAGCTAAAAAGAAGACTGTGGACCACTGTGTTTGTTTTAGCACAGTGGCCCACTCTCACCCTGTAAGGTGTAGTTCTTTTCCTGCTTGTACTTGGCATGAACTCATTATGAAGAGTGTATTTCTTTTACTACCTTTAATAAAATTTTGCTACCATTAAAAAAAAAATAGTGCATGGGACCAATGGCAAATCTCTAGTAGAATGAACATCACAAAACATGTTTACGAAACCCTTTTAGATAAAAATCTAGAAAAATAACCTAGGCACTACTATTCAGACTTCCTCAGGGTCTGCTAAAGACCCAAGAGGCTGACACAGCAGGGGAGAAGCAGGAGGACTCAACCTTTCAAGGGAACATTGCAACCAAATCTCCTAAGAAGATCCTAAAAAGATCAGCACGGTTTGGGGGGGGGGGGTTGTTTGTTTGGTTTTTTTTGTTTTTTTGTTTGTGTTTATTTGTTTTTTTGTTTTGTTTTCGTCGTAGTTCTTACTCTAGACCCTGACAGGAAACTCCAGTGAGTATTCATAAAATAAATCACCAGGGTTCCGGCTTAGAGCTTAGGAGATTCCTACTAAACATCAGGAAGGGAGTGGTGGTTGTGGTAGTGGTGGTGTGTGTATTTAGACTCATGAAATAATTCTGTCAGTCAGGACCAAATTCATGAATTCTTGTCCTCCTAAAATTTAGAATAATGACTATATCTCTAGGAACATTTTAAATGGGTCTGTCTAATTCGTCATCATTAAGCCTCCAAAGGATTATAAACATAAAATAGACACATATATTTATCTTATGCCCATTCAGAAGCGTGTATACAGATGCATATCTAAAATCTGAAACAAAAACACTAACAATGTGTTTAAATTCTTTAAAGGAAACAACTTTATTGGGGATATTTATTGTATTTTTTTATTTCTTTTACATTGCCACATTATGTTGCTTTTATTACAATGATCATATATTGCTTTTCTTACAAGAAAACCATGCATCTTTTCCCTTTCTTTATCTCTGTCTCAATTCCAATGTCAGGGAAAGTCTGAGAGATCAGTTAATCTTCCATATAACTCAAAGTGACTAAAGCCTACACTAACCCCATCTCATGGTCCTAGTTCTTTTGGCCACCACTCACCCGGGTCTACCCAAATCTACATTGGCCACAACTCTTGCATCACAATCTAAGAAATTATAGATGCTGCTTCTATGCCTCTTCACCAGATAAACATCTGTGCCACTAGATATGGCAAGAAAATTCTGCCTGACAATGCACCCTACTCTTCATTGTGCTGCCTTCTCTCACATTCACCTGCCTCACTTTGGGTCTCTTAGGGCTCTCCTCATGGGCAGTGATCTCAGTTCCTGCTCATTCCACTTATACTGTACTTCCTTCAGTGAACACCATACTTCTAAGTGCTATGTCTGGCTTGCATGACTCCCAGATGGGCCACAGGACCAAATTCACGTTAAGCACAACCAGCAGGGATGCATTCCTCATTGTTCTTCACCTTGATGTTGCTAAACAACATTCATCTTATTAACTTCCCCTGCAGGATGGCTCATAGCCCTGGGGACGTGTGGAGACCAGTAGTGCTCATGTACACACTCTCTTTACTTTCTTCCAATCCATCCTTCTCTCACTCTTGCTTCCAGTCCTGCTACTTGGGCTATTGGCCCTCTCAAGCTCATGATGTCTCTTGTTCTTGACTCTGGTCTGTGGTAACAAGTCCTTGCTATTTTTCTGTGGGCTGCTGGATGGTTTCAGCTGCTTCTCTTCCTGGAAGGTCTCTCAGATGTCCCAGATTCCACTGTTAATCACAATATTTTCCAAATAAACCACTGTTAAAGAACTCTCCAAGCACACTCCTGCTTCCACAACATGGGCACAGTGGCAACTAAACCAGAACAAAGAACCAAAGTGATTGGAATTAAAGCCAGGAGACCCAGCATCAGGACATTCCCCAGTACAATATAGCATAAGTGATAGACAGAATTAAATACCTCCTCTAGAAAATGCAAGACTCTAGAAATGCCTAAGACACTATCCTACCATTGTGTATCAATCCTGTCATATAGTATAAAGTAGGGCATGAAAAACTTTCATTTTTCCTGAGCTTATATGATCTTATGTAATTTGCTCATCTCCATGGAACATCAATTTCTCCATTGATATAATGAGAATGTTGATAGTATTCCTGCCTAATCTAAAAGTTTGATTTTAAATTTTAAATGAGTAAATGAGAGTCCATAGACTGTGGATATTCTCAGAAAAAAGTGTGTTATCTTTCATTCTCTGAAAAAATTATAGGCTGATCTGGTTTTCTTTAGGCTTTATTTTCAACCTTCTTTTCAGGGCCCAGTGCCCAGAAGAAAAGTAATTGTCTTCACTGTGGAGGTTGTCTTGAAGAAGGAAAGCCAGGTATATCTCTTTTCATGAAATCAAGAAATACTGAGAATTCTGAAAAGGAAGTTAGTGTCTTAGCCTAGGTGATCTAATTTTTTTGGATTGTTGTCTTTATTTTCCTTTTACTATGCTTAGGACATTGGCAAATGTCCTTCTGGTACACTGCCCTTATCTCAGAACCCTGTGGACCACCAGCAGAAGCAATTTCAATCTGGAATGGATGATAAAATGAGAAGTAATAAACCTCCAGCCACCACTATGCCAGAGTTTTAATTACAGGAAGAAAAATCAAAGGGTAACCTAAAATGGAAAATAAAAATTGGAGGTATATGGTCCTGCCATCTCTTTTCATGTGAAGAATCCCCAGTAGGTTGCATTTTTTTAAGGATCCGAGTTGTATTCTATTAAGGGAGATTTGTTTTCTTGATACTGTCTTCCTAAACATTGATATGACGAATCTGAATTGAAGGACTTTAAATGAAAACCAAGTTGTACAGTGCCCCTTAGGAATCTGTCAAATGTGTAGTTACATGGAAAAGACGAAGGATACGCTGTCGGATCTGCTTTGTCTTCACCCCATATACAATGGGGTTGAGCACAGGAGGAACCAATAGATAGATGTTGGCCATGATAACAGGAAGGAGAGAGTCATGCCGCTTACTGAAACGGTGCACCATAGACAATCCAATAAAAGGTACATAGAATATGAAAACAGCACAGACATGGGAGACACAAGTGCCAAATGCCTTTGCCTGGGCTTCACGTGTCAAGCCCAACACAGTCTTAAGGATAAGCAAATATGAAAAGGAGATAAGGAGGGAATCCAGGCCAATGGCAGAGATGATGACAATGAGGCCATAAATGACATTGACGCGGATGTCAGCACAGGCCAACTTCATGACGTCTTGGTGTAGGCAGTAGGAATGGGAAAGGACATTGGATTCACAGAAGGGTAACCTTTTGATGAAGACAGGCAAGGGAGCCATCAGTGCAGCACCCCGTATCACAGCAGCCATGCCAATCTTGGCAACACGAGGCAACGTAAGCACAGTAGCATGGCGTAGTGGATGACAGATGGCCACATAGCGATCAAAGGCCATGGCCAACAGCACTGTGGACTCCATGCCAGATAAGGAATGGATGGCAAACATCTGTACTAAACAAGCATCAAACTGGATTGTAGTGGAATTAAACCAGAAGATAGCCATCATTTTTGGCATGAATGAGGTGGAGATGAGGATATCCAGGCCAGAAAGCATGCAAAGAAAGATATACATGGGCTCATGCAGGCTGTGTTCAGTCCGCACAATGTAGATGATCATCAAGTTACCTAACACAGCAATAAGGTAGAGTGAACACAATGGAAAGGCCAACCAGAACTGAACTTCTTCCAAGCCTGGGAGGCCTATTAAGATGAAATATGTGGCACTGGATTCATTGCCAGCAGGGTCCACCATAGTGAAGGATCTGGGCTGTGACCAATGACAGGTACGTAGAGGCTGGAATGCAAAGATAAGTCATCGTCAGGTTCTCAAGAATTCTAAAACCACAGCTCCCTAGTCCTGATGTCATACTGTCTTATTCAAACTCTAATTCTATTGCCCATCCAAATTGTGGTCCTGGTCTAACACTAAGTCAAGTACCAAATGCAAATTCACACACTCCTACTTACTAACCCCATAAGCCCATCTGCATAGTCAATCTTCATAACAAGGGAAATACTAAGACAAAATCGTAATCATATTTTAAGTTACTTAGTACTCAAAGAAAGGCTATTTAATGAATGCACACTGATTTAAGACAGACAAATACATACATACATACATACATGGAAAAATAAATAATAAATATATATATATAAAGTTACTTCCTTTTCCCTATTCAATCCTTTTACTCCCTTGTGCTTAATAGTAAATTCTAATATCATTTCACTATCCTAAAATGAATTCCAATATAAATATAGTGATACTAGTACTAACACAAATTCACACTGAAACCTAACCTCATCATTAATCTATTTATCACCCCACCTTAACTATAATTTTAACCATAACTTTAACACTAACTATAATTTTAACATTAAATGATTAAATGCTATTTCAATCTTAATGCAAAACTAGTAACAACTTTATTATGATAAAACGGATTCCAATAAAAAACCTGACACTAATTTAATCCCTAATTCTAATTCTATAATTCAACCATGCCCAAATGTCTACTCAAAGGTTTACACCTGTCCATACTATTCAGTGTATGTTAGAAAAAAATGATAACCACAGTGGATGCCATTGATATTGCACCCAGGTCCAAAGCACCTGTCTCCTGTCACCTGTCCATCTGCAGTGGATGTTGAATGTTAAGTGCCCACAGCTCTTCTTGAGAGAACTGTCTTTGCTAAATGCTAAGCACTGCCTCACATGGATATACAAAAATCCAGTTTCCTTGTCTCTAACTGGAAGAGTAAAGATGCTAGCAATTTGGGCATTCCAAAGAGAAACCACAAAGGATTCTTTTAGGTGAAAAGGAGAAAGTGTGTCATAGCTATGTAAGTGTAGAAAGACATAATATATATATAGAGTTCCATTTCAACTATCCCCTAGGAATCTTGGAATATAATCCCTCTTATTAACAGGGGACCAACTTATGTCAGTTGACCAAGAATCTTTCTCATGTTCTGTTTCTACGAGACCCATCCAGCTTGAGTGTGGATCTGATTTAATTAGGATACAAAGCTTGAAATGGTGGCATTAGTAGCACTGGAAAATAATCTATCCCATAGCAGGGTTCAGGCTGAATCTGGACTGAGCCTAATTATAAAATGGAGATATTACTCAGGTGGATATCAGATTCAGGTTATCTCAGACTGTATCCTTCTGTTAAGAGAGTTATCTAACTCCCACTGTCTATTGTTTTAAAAGTACTCTTAAAAACTCTTAGCAGTCTGTCTTTCTGAATTTAGTATTCCACACCATCCTTCCTTATTTCTGCAAGGAAATATCCATGCACACCTAATCAGATAAGGTGCACTGCAGTTTTTAAATGTGTTTGCACAAATACATCACAGACACAGCTGTACTCTGTTCCTGGTCTTGAATCTTTGATACTCTTATTTTACTATATTCTCTTCTTTGACCATGTCATCCCTTTCAGTAAATTCATTTTATTGTGAATAAACTTGATTCTCAAATTTATTTAGTGAGTCCTAAATTTTCTTTCGTGATCCAGATTCATTATTCTAAAATCTCATTAAAAAGGTCCACCTGGCCTACTGTGAAGTACATCAGATACTCTTCTGGAACTACTATTGTGTAGCTAATAAGAGAACCAGCCTTGAAATAAATCCCAAATTATAATCTCAGTCCTTAGCTGTGCAACACAGGGCTGATCATTTAACTTGCTAAGACTAAGTTTCTTCATCTTTAAGATGCTAATAACCTCTGCCAAGATAAAGATTAAATAAGATAAAACCTGCAAAACATTTAGCACAACATCTTGCATACACAAAGTATGACAAATCACTCTCACTGTTATTGGCTGTTTTCCTCCAGATTTTATTTTTTTCTATTATGATAGTCACCAGTTAATAGACCATGATTCTATCAGGTTATACCTCTAGTGTAAGCTTCCTCTTCAATACAGTCCCAGAAATCTAACCAGATGAAACTAGACCACTGTCTATTGTTTTAAAAAGTACTCTTGAAAACTTAACACTCTGTCTTTCTGAGTTTAGTATGACTCTAGATTTCTCCTCACACACCTCGCCATGGCCCCTGTGCTCCAGCCAGAATACAATTCATGCTTCCTCATAAACACAGCACTAATATCCATGACTGTGCCTTTTTTAATTCCTTGTCCCTCTGTCACATCAAATCTTCCTCTGTGACTTCCCACACACACATACATACACACACACACACACACACACACACACACACACACATACACTCATTTTTCATATCCTGACTTAGTTTCTCTATCCTATGCTATGTTTCCAATGTTAATTTCCCCTGGACATAATTAAATGTTTTTATGCTCCCATAGTATTTTGATTAGATCTCATTTTACATATCCCACCCTAGCAATAATATAATATATAATTATGACTATATTACTTCTGCTAGATAATGAACTCCTTCTTGCCAAAGATCCTATTATATTTATTAATTGGTGTTAATGTTTGTTGAAGGTGAAAATAAGCTTTATCAATAAATGAATCCTTCAACAAGCATCTAATGAGGATAACACAGCCAACGGTAGGTAGCATTGCCAGATGTCTGAACTTAGACTTTCGAGAGGGAGTAAAAAATGTTTGAAATTTCAGTTCAGGGTAGTCTCAAGTTCAGAACAAGAATTTTCTGGGTCAAACAGAAGAGTCTTTTTTAACTCAGGGAGCCAAAGGACATGAGAGGATGTGCAGAAATCAGCACAGCTGCAACATAAATGCAGAGGATATGTACATGGCCTAAACTGAAAAGAATGGAGACTTGAGACTCCTAACCTGGAGACATCACCAAGAAGGTTCGGATGCTTCCGAAGGCCAGACATTGTTGCCTTCTAACAATTTCACAGAAATTTATCTGCTAGAATAGGAAGATTCCCCAAAATATAAAGTGTGCTGTGTTGGGAAATATAAGTATTAGGAAAAGCATCACGGACTACCATGAGCAAACCTATAGCCTCAGAGGGTAGATAGATGTGGTCAGCAGAATTCTGGGTCTAGGAATGCAAGTCACGGCTCTGAAAAATATAGAAAATAATAATAACCTCATAGCATTGCTGTAAAATTATATGAAATATCAGAAGACATTATAAAATAGTCACAGGGCATTTTCCATAAAATTGTATATTCCATAAAAATATATGAATCTTTCAAAAATGTATTTACCCTAGTCTATCACTTTAATCACTTAATCTCTCTATATATTTGTTTTACACACAAACACATACACACACTGATAGCAATCAATTTTTCACAATGGCAAGACTGGGTACTGATCTAGAGATGCAAGAATTCAAAAAGAGAGTCAGCTCACTTGCAAGAGAGGTGCTTTGGGAAGCTATGGCTAGAGAGAAAATAGCAGCAGAAAAAAAAATGAAGGCGTGGTAAGGGAGCCAGCCAGAAAGTCCAAATATCACTGTTCAGACTGCCACCCCGAGGCACCCCAGTATCCCCAGTAGACAGGAGAGAGAAGAGATAATTTCCAGGTGGCCTTCCATCCTCAACATCTGCTAGTAAATAGAAACATTTGCACACACTCAGAGATGGTTTATAGCTCAGAAGAAAGCTGGAACTAAGCCATTCTATTTTAAAAACAAAACACAATTAAGAAAAAATAAACTATGAAAGTATATTTTTTTAGACAGTCCACACACTGTCCTAATCCCCAGGGAGCAGCCTAGTGCTTAAATTTTTCTGTAAAAAGTCAAACTGTCTTACCAAGTTCCTGATATGTTCTTTGGAGAATTATAAAGAACATCTTAACCTTTTCTCAGGAACTAAGGAGCAGGAGCCACCAACTATACAGAGTGGAAATCCATTTTGAAGCCTCCGGCCTCTCTTTGCCTTTTCTCTGACCTTCAGAACACTGCCATCTACTGCCAGCTCAGCGCTCTCTACCCTACTGGCTCATTCCACGTTCTTCCTCAGCTCTGAATTCCTTCTTTCTCACAGACCCGTGGAAAAGCTAGTGGAGTGAAGGACCAGGGCTCTTCATCTTTCTTCTGTCCCACCAATCACCTCCAACACTATTTTTCTGTTTCTGTGGTATTAATAGATCACTGAGTGCCTATAAAATGCCACTGTACCAACCGTCAAGATATTATCTGTACCTCAATGACAATTCTGCATGGTAGGAGAGCCGTATGTCTTCTTTACTTTATAGATTAAAAAGATGAGGCTCCAAGAATTTGAATAGCATTCCTAGTGTTTAACAGCTGATTAGTAAAGTAGAAACTTCACCCTGACAACTCTAAGACCTGAATGCTTTCCCTTATTCTAGGATTCAGCTGTGCTGTGCTGTACTGTCTGGAATCTAACAAAAACTACTCAGGTGCAAGGTACAAGAGGTGCTTGGTAAGTTGGACAACTGGCCCAGGCACAGTCTTAGAAGGAGAGCTAACAGGGCAGGAAAGAGGACTTTCCTAAGTGGAAACTCAAGCCATCCTCCTCCTCTTCTGGCCCTAACTCTTCTAACTGTGATATGGGGTGGCCCCTCTGTGGTGATTAAAAAGCTTTGTCCTCTGCCAAGTATCTCCTTCTTATCTAATTAAAGCCTCTCACCAGTCTGTCAAGTAATCATCCCATTTGGCAGATAAAGATATTGAAGCTTAGTTAGAGCCCTCAGTGCCAAATCCTTATGTTTTTCAGCATTTCAGGCTGTTAACCTGCCTCTCTCTCAGTCTCCCAGTCTCCTTAAGAATAGTCAGATATTTTATAAGGACAATGTTCATGTTAATTTCTAAGACATCCAAAATAAAGGGCTCATGAATCAAGGGACCATTTCACAGCTCATGACACCTGACCAGCTCTCCCCACTTAGGTTCAGTGTGAAACAGATAAAAGAGGAAAAAGGACAGGATTTGTGGCTTCTGTCATTACCTAGGTTAACCACATATTATGCTCCATGCTCAGAGTAATTGATTGGGACTTGAAGACCTGATTCCAGCGTCCGTGGGGAAATTTGGAGGAGAAAACCCTTGAGGGTAAGCTCAGACATGCTTCTGACTCTTAGCACCAGACCAAGAGAGGTGAAACTGGCCCCAAGGGTGATGCTGTGATCGTGAAGACCGGAGCTTGTCACCTGATTCTTGGGCAGGAAGACATTGTCCTTATGCTTTATAAGGATAATATTTCCAAGAATCACACACACTCAAATTATCTGCATCCACTATGTCCCATACTTTGCTTGGATCTGATGAAGCAGATCAACCTTTGCAGATTATTGGTCAATCTTTTTTAAACTGCTAAGATAATAATGATAAGGTGAGTGTACAATTTCTAACTTAAAAATGATTGTGAAGTTCTCACCCTACACTATTCCCCTAAAATACCCCTATGCAGACTTATAGAGTTCAAGTCCCCACCACCACTACCACTTTCTGAGTAGGACCAGTTAAGTGTTCTGGGGACTTGCAAAGCATGGCCTACTTGTCAGCACCTTGCAGAACTAGTGTGGTTTAGGCCTGCCGTCTGGAAAATGAAAAAAAAAAGGAAATGCCAGACATGGAATTTTAATCAGTATACTGATATTTTTCAACAAGTACTAACTGACTGACTGCTCTGTGCCAAGTATCTCCTTCTTATCTAATTAAAGCCTCTCACCAGTCTGTCAAGTAATCATCCCATTTGGCAGATAAAGATATTGAAGCCACTGAGTTTGCTTCACTGCATTTAGTCACTAAAGAAGAGAATAAACAAAGGCAGAGGTCCATCACTCTGATGTGAGGAGAAACTGAGACAAGCACTCAACCACTATTGCACATTGTGGTAAGTACTAGGACAAAATAAGCACCAAATCTCAGAAGTAAAGACATCCATAACTCACCAAATTTTTAGGCTCAGAGCGCTCCCTTGAAGAGGTGATACTGAGTCATGGCTTGCAGAACCAGTTGCAGTTAGCAGACAGTTAGTGAGTGTAGAGACAGCAGAAGACAACAAAAAACATAATTGAGGGTCAAAACTGGAGTTCAAACAGTAGATAAAATAGGAAAGATCACTTCTTTTGTGAAGCTCACATCCTAAGAGGGCAACAACAAAAAGTAAAGAAATAGGCAAGAAATTTTCAGATAAAGTGTACACGTCCTGAGGACCAGATGAAATGATAGGATAAAAGTGGAGCTGAGACAGGGACAAAGAAAGCCTCTCTGAGGATTCAACACGTGACACGAAAGCTACATGTTGAGAAAATGTCAACCCTCCAAGGTTGGAGGTAAAAGCACACCAGCATGGGTACCAACATGAGGAAAAGGTCTTACAGCAAGATTGAGTCTAGTAGTTTATGGAACAGAAAGATTAAGTTGACCAGAACACTGGAGAGTTAAAGATTAGGTTAGAGAATGGCAGGGATCAGGTCAGGGGACAGTGGTTTGTGAGACATGGAAAGAGCTTTGGCTTAATTCTGAATGAATTGAGGGATTTAAACGATGGACTTGATCTAATTTATTCTTCAAAGTGCACTCCAGAAAAGGCAAAGACCCAAAGCAAAAGAAAAGAGACCTTGTTTGGAAAGCTGCAAGCGTTTTAGCATGGCTAAAGAAAAGAGTCCAAAGGCAGAGGTGACTGCAGAGTGGACACTAAGCCACCTGTTAAACAGGGTGAAGACTGAACCCTGATACTAGGCTCAGACTAAACCAATCTTGAAGCTCCAGCAATATCATTACATCTCAATCTCAGCCACATCCTACCTCTTGATACAGGATGGTATAAGATGAACACCTACCCTGTTCAGAGCCTACAAGACAATGCTACCCAAAGCCTGATCTTCAGTCACAGACTGAGTTTCAGCCACACTAACAATACCAGGGTTGGACCTGTCCACACTCTTAAACTAATTCAACCCCAGTCCAATCCCACTATAACTCCAACAAAAATGTCCTCTGTCCATTCACATTTATGCCTGCCAGGATTTAGATGAGTGTCCCAGCACACTGGTCATTATAAAAATTGCTTGAAAACTTTTCTTACGCAACACTGAACACCCAACATTTCCCTTCACGCACAAACATGGAAGTTACTAAGAGTGTCACCCTTTGGATGGAAAGCTTCCTCCACATCCCCCAGCCCCACCTGTACACTGATTCTTCACAGCCTGGTTTCTTATTCTAATGGGAGATCCACAGCTACAGGTTACCCCCCTGCTCTCATATACCCTCTGTTCTGCACTCACCTCAGCTGCGTACAGGAGTGTGTGTCCTTCTTTACAGCTCTCTTCCCAAAGAGGTCTAGCAGGCTGTGATGTAAAGCCCAGCCCTCTCTGTCTCCACCTCCTCTCCTAGATCTCACTGGCCACAGTTATTTATTCTCAATCTTCCCTCCTCTTTTCTCCTCCTCCCTACCTGGCATGCAGGGTTTTTTTCCAGAGCCCATCAGCAGACATCCCTCACAAGCCGACTGTAATTTTGGATTTCTTCTCAGCATCCACCTGCTACAAAGCTGTCTGAGTGGTGTGGGGAAGGAGGAGCAGTGGGTAATGTGAATCTCTAAAGTCTGCCTTACGTAAGCCTTTGACAGCTGGCATACATATGTCAGTTCTCAGTGTACAGTTAGAGTAAAAAAGGCTAATGAATGTCAATTTTTGCTTATGGTCTTTCTAAGGGTCTTTTTCCAAATTTCTTCATAACCTTATCACACTTAGTCCAAGGAAATAGAAAGTAAGTTTTCAAAGATTATCCATGATTAAATGTCAGCCTTTTCTCATCTGAAGCTTTCTGTCTCCCTTGCCTTTCCTCTGATGGACCCCAAATCCAATGGATCCAACCTCCCTTCCCAAAGCTCTAGGGCTTCTTTGTCTCCCAGGCTCTGGCTTCTGTGTCTGGACAACTCATTACATGGGTCCCCAGGGATACTTTCTCCCATTCCCTAGCCTTAATTTACTAAATTGCTGGCTGAAGGAGAATTTTTTTCTTTAACCTTCTCCATCCCCAACCCAGCCATATAAGACCAGTGCAATCTGGTATCCCTCTTAAAGGCAAAAATAGTAAGATAATTTTTAGACAGAGAACCATTTGAATGTGAAACTGAATACCTTAAATTTTGAAATACATTAAAACTCTGTCTGTAATAAAGAAAACATCATGACTTTTGCATGGTTTACCCTTATTTTTTAACTCATCAGTGTCATAGTTACAAGTTCACAACGTAAGGCATGCTAACACAATAAAAATAATGTCAAACAAGACCATAGTAACTCACACCACATCAAAATTACTGATTACAAGAGCGTCTGGTCCCTGTAGAAGTTGCAGCCTGACACTCTCACATTACCTTAGTTACATCTCTGTTGCCTCCACTGATTCCCCCCATAAACTTAGAAGATACAAAGACTTTTTCAAAGTTCCCTAGGGACTTCTATTTCCTGGGATGGAATAACAGGAAGTAATAATATCAACCTAAAGGAATGAAAAAGTAAATGACTTATATAAAATAATAATTTGCAAGATTCTGGGTGGATCAGTGAAGGACAAAAAAGCACGAGAAAACATAGACAAACGTGTTTACAGTTTGCCAGCTTGCTGTCTTGAGAAAGATTTGCAGCAAAGGCAAAGTGAATCCAAGCAGAATCTAGAAGACTCCTTGAAGTGAGGTGATAAATTAAGGATTCAGGAAGACCAATCCAGTTATAATTTGATGGTAAAATATCAGAGATGAGAGATACACATGGAGAGAGAACACCAGAAATAAGTAGAAAGTCTTCCTCAAAAATTCAGTATACACCAAGTACTGATCAGTACATGCCTGTGAGCAAGCTTCCCAAAGCTAAAGAAAGAACCACTTTAGAAGATTAGAGACAACCTTAACTTTTGAGGTAAACTTATTCCCAGCTGGGATAAGTGTGGTAAACACAAGAAAGGAACACAGTCTCTCATTTGGCCTCTAAAATTTGTCAGAAGTGTTTTTCAAGACTAAGTGTACCATTCTACTGTATAAACCATCGATGAGCTTGGAAATGGTAAGGTCTCAGGGAGAGAATGTGGAACCCCTTGGCTTCTTAAAATCTGAGCAGAAAATTTGTGAGTACTATTTAAAGAATTATCTGTCCTAGGAAAGATGGTTGTGAGACTTTAATTGCCATAAATAAATAAGTAAATACTAAAAAGGCCCTTTCCTGGGCCAAGCCAGAGAGAGATGTCACACTGCAATGGGGTACAACACAAGGGCATGGTCTTCAGGTTACCCCACCAATAAAAGTTTTTGTACTTTTTAACACATAGTAACAAAATCTTCAGATCTAGGTTTAAGTGAAAAAAGAATTGACATTGAGTCACTGTCCTGGTTGCAGCTTTATGACCTTTGGTAGCCACTTAACTTTTTAGAGTCTTGGTTTGCTTACCTGTAAACCGTGAGTAAAAACATTATCTAACATACAGTGTTACTTATGGATTTTAGCCAATCATTAATAGCTTGGCAAAGTACTGTTTAGACTTCATACAGCACAGGTCAAACGAAGGAAAATAATTTAGAGAGAAAGGTACAAGAGAAAAAGACTGATAGGGAAACAAGAGTGAACCTGTTTTCTTAAAGTGAATCGGAACAACCCTGCGTTTTACTCTTTGAGCAATCTTAGCCAGATAGCCATCTTGCACCTTTAGCTGCAGGTTCTGAAAACATAAAGAAGCATAAGGCGCGGTTCTCACACTCAGGAGAGACCGACAATTCTCACATGGATATTTAAATGCTACAATAAAGAAGAAACAGATGGCCATCATAAAAGATCTATGACAGCAGCATAAGCATCCAGTTGATTTATATCAGTTTGTATTTATGTTAGAGAGACACACAGAGACTGGAAGCTCTTGATACAGTCTCGCAGTTACATCATGTCTTCCACAGAACAACAGCAACCCAGAAGTTATCCAAAAAAAGAATTTTAGAGAACTCAAAGATGTCCAAATCTCTGGAAAAAAAGGCCACAAGATCATCTAAATCCAGTAACATTTCAGTCTAGACCAGCGAATAACTTCTAGTCTTGAAAGATGAATTTATTATGAAAGGTGAGGACTACTGTACTTTGAATGCTATTTATTTCCTAAGATGAATTAACAAGCCTCATTTTGTCAGTTTGATTATTTAGAATTTTCACCAACATTCTTTATCACTTTGTATTTTTCATGTATATTTAGACCCGGTACTGTATTTAACCCTTACAACCACCCCACAGAGTCTAAAGTGCAGAAGGTTAAGTAATTGACTCCCAAATCAAAGTGACTATAATCTATACCCTCACATTTAATTCCCACCCAACAATGTCTCTTTCTCTGGTAAAGATATTAACTTTCTAAAGGAAATGCTTGTCAGAGTTTTGCTTCCTTTGAATTTCATTTATAAATCAAGTCCCAGGAAATGCATTTCAATTTCCCTGAACATTTTTGAAAACAACTTATCAAGAGATAAAGAATTTTATGATTAATAACAATAAATCAGGATAACCACATACAGACACACTGGTAAAGCATTGCAAAATTTCAGAGCCCTATTCACATAGACCATGATGTGAATGGTGTTCTCAAAAATTTGTGTAATAGACCAACTGTAATTGCGATCATTTAATACATGTTTACAACACTTCACAGTTTATAAAAGATATTCACAATATCACTACTATTGCAGTTTCATACTACACAGAAAAAAATGAGGTTTAGAGACATTATAATCCAATGGTAGCCAATCTATGGCACATGTGCTGCAAATGGCTATTTGTTATCACTGAAAACTCTAAAATGTCATCATCACTATAAACATAAGGCATGCCATTAAAAGACTCATTTCAGAATTCTTTCCTCTGCTTCAAATTAATCATGGATACACTGCTTTCTACCTGTAATTCTATGAATGTGGATTTTTATCTGATTTCAAGAATTAGAAATGAGATGTACCTGCAGTAAAATGCTCTGTATGAGATGCCAAAGTTTTTCAGAGTCCCACATTTGTCCTGTCCCTGTCAATAATCTCCCACAAAGGTTGACAGACTCTCCTTAGTCAAGCCCTTTCAAATATATTTGGCAAACCAGTAAAAAGGGAGAAGAAAGTGAAGATACTACAGCCTGATTCTGAGGAAGGAAGACAGGCCCCTAAGGAGGCCAATGCCTTGGAAGACTAACGTGGAATTTGCTGTACAGATGTGTACCCTGTGCAGTACTGGAATGACTGCACTTCTCAGTATATGTGGTATTTATCTTTGAGTAAAAACATCTGGAGGCAGGGAAGGTGACAAAACGCTGAAATCCTTGTGTGTAAGATTTAGAAAGTATAGTTTGGCCTTTAAGAAGATAGAACACAGAAGTACCATGTTTGTCTTCACTCCCAGAGACTGAGCTGCATATAACCTCAGGCTGAGCCCAGACCAAGAATTCAGATTTCTTAGAGGCATATCTCTCAACATAGAAAAGTATTATTGCTACTTATGATTAATCTTCTTTAATCCCATCCCTCTACCCATATAGTTTTCACAATAGGCATTTGCCCAAAGATAAATGCCAAAAGGTACAACCATCCCAACACTATGTAGTCCACACATTTGTGCACCACATTCTACATCCTTGAAATCACAAGGAAAGATATAGTTTTCTAAATCTCAGGCAACGTTTTCACCAGATACACATAAAGACACTGCCCACCAAACAGACACACATAGCAACATTCTCACATAGATGATTCTCACATACCAACTCTCAGATCCCACATAAATACAGTAAAGGTTTAATCAGGAACAAAACTTATAAAAACATATATATGCCACAGTACAGCTACCACCCTCACCAGGACACAGGTGGCACATATTCCATTCTCCTCCATCCATCCATTCTCTCTCACACACATGCACATACACGCACAAGTACATATATCCACCTAAACACACCCACCTACAGCTATGCCCATTGCATCCCATACAGTTATAGTGAGGACTTTGGCAGACTCCACAAAAACACACATGCATCAAGAAACTTAAGCACATTATGTTGACTACCTCCTCTCCTGTTACAGATTCCTCCAATTATTACACTAAACATCTTCACTAACCCTTATTTATAACTATGCAATCACTTGGGGACATAAGCAATAAGTTTTATGGCCAACACAGATTCTCCAACAAGGACATAGGAACAAACAGAATTGAAAAGCATAGATCAATGAATCATTACCTGTGGCATTTATAGCCTTCCAATTTCAAAGCTATGCATATTTTCTAATTAGAAAGGAAAGAAAAGGCAAGGCCACTCCTAAAGAGGGATTATAGAAGCAATGACTTCTATTCTCCAGGATCAGGATGGCCTGTGCATCAATTCTATATTGATTCATTCTTGGGAACAGAAATAAGA